GTCAGAAAGGAGGAGAGGATTAATTTTTATATTGCTAATTGATCTCTATTTGTTAGTCTTAGAAAATAAATAGAGATCAATTGGCTTCAAAAATAGAGTTATTTTATTTTCTAAAATTGGCTTCTAACAAAACTCCTTTTATGGGACGGGGTCATATATGTTTAGTCAAATTATGCGTGTGAATATAATTTTTCATCTTTATTTTCTTTTCAAGTATCTAAATGTTAGAATATATTAAAAATATATCACTCATTCCCGACGAATTCCCACAATCAAAGTAATGAAGGGCCTAAGTTCTCCCCAAAAATACCTCTTTAGTACAAATAATATCGCATGCAAAAGCATAATAAAGATAAGCAATTTATACCATATGCTCCGGTGTCTTCACTACTCAACCAGATCTCCTTCACTCCATCAGCAACAACATTTTTTACCCGTCCCACCTAAAATGATATATATGTGCTTAGTGAAAATGCTAAAAGGTCCAAAATGATAATTAAAACTATACACTATTGAAGTAACAAAACTCACAAGGCTTTCAACAGTGTAGCTTCCTAAATGACCGCGGGCATGTTTTGTCTTGCAATAAGTGCACGCACCTAAGCATCCAACATTAATTGGAAGAATCTCAATGAACTCGTTCTTCCTCACCTATTTAATAATAATCCAAGTTGAACGTGGATAGTACATTAAGAAACATATTTTAAGCATTTTGTATCTCCATTTATAGTCAATTACAAAAAGAATATTAAGGGTCCTTTAGGTAGTTCTTCTAAGTAATTTTAGACTCGCGTAAAAGGTTTTCATCTCAGAAGTTTCTATAGAGAAATACTACTTATCAGACAAGCACTAAAGTATTATAACATGGGGTAATTGAATTTCTCACCTTCGGAAGGTCAAGTGATGGCAGTGTTTTGCGGGTTAGAAGTCGGACTTCGTGGCCTTTCAAAGTCTCTTCCACAACTTCTACCACACGGTGAATCTGTTGAACCCCAACTATACTAATTCCTTGTAACTCTTTCAAATTACGGCTTCCTTGAGGAACACATCCTGCAACAACTAGTGGTTTTTTTGCAATTTTCCCTCTAGTTAAAAGAGTGTCCATGGAAGACTGACTTGGGGATTTAACTGTGCAGCTGCATCACATCATGAGAATCAAATGTACTGAAATGTGATCCAAAAATACTCCATAATAATCAAATATCTATAAGGGCACGTGTGGTACTGTGGTAAGTGCTATTTGGCTGAAATTGCTGAATGTACTGAGTTTTCTAGAGATAAGTGCCTAGTTACATCCATTTAAACCACATAGAAAAGCTACTTATTATGCTGAGCAAGAATTGGCTACCAAACACAGAGTAATATTTCTAGTCTCAACAACAACATTACCCCAGTGCCTCAAAGGCTCCCGCCTATTGCGGGGTAAGGGTGGTTGGATGTAAGCAGTCTGACCCCTATGCTTAAAACATAGAGCAATTGTTTTTTGGATGACACATGATGAACATCAAAAGTTGCATTTACTAACAGCTACTTCACTATTAAAAAAGCATAGTTAGTTTAAAGAGCCATTTTGCTTTATTCCATCACAGCCCAATGCCAAAAAATAGTGAATCTTTGGCTCCATTTGGAATCTTAATAAAATGCAGAAAGCAGCAAGTGAATATTTAAAGCTATATCATTAAACTTTTGAAATTAGATAAACGCTAAAAAAACAAACAAAAACCATACGTGTTTATCAGCCACAAGTCTGCTTCATCTGGGACATCAGTCAAAGCATAACCAAATGCTGAAAGCTGACCAGCCATATACTCTGAGTCACTCTGATAGAGAAAGAATAACAAAACTTCATTAAAAATAAACGAAAAAAAAAAACATACTTACAGTTCAATAACATGAAATAAAATTCAACTACCATATTCCTTCAACAGATAGCGACTCCTTTCCTTTCCCATTGTCATGGTACAAGGAACAGAATGTGCAGATCAAAAATTGGATACAATTTCAATGACCAACTTCAAAAAAAATTGCTTAACTTAGACTCAAATACAGAATTTCTACCTGCTTTATTCATCTAATATGGTTACTTTTTACCTGGTTATGCGAGCATCCAAATGTCTTTATATAAATTGTCTGCAACATAGACACACAGTTAGACATCCAGGTGAATCAGTCAAATAGAAGAAGCAATTGTAATTGTAAGCCCAGAAATTGGCAACATAAAAGGAAAACCTGAGTGCCAGGGATTTTGGGGGTGGAACTCGGAAGACCGCTCCTCCTCCGCTGCTTGGGATTTACACCGACGACGTCCGGCGTCAGCGGAAGCCGGAAACCGGGCGGCGATCGTCCGCTACTTCCCACGAGCAAATCTTCTATGTCTTCCATTTTCGCTTCGCCGGAGATTCTGGGACGGAGGCTGAGGATTTCCCCTTCCCTTTGCTGAGCTTTTTCTCAGTATAGTTCGAAGTTATTGTCACTGATACGGAGTTAACCATATTGCCCTAGAAGTTTTCATAATTGAAATTTGAGACCAAATCGGTCTCCTCCCCAATTTTTACATTTCCTCAATTCGAAAAAAAAAAAATCTCATTTTTATAGTTTTCTTTCAAAACAAAAAATCATTTGAAATTTTGGATTTTAATTTCAAATTTTGAAATCTTGTGATTTCAAATAGAGCAATGCTAGGGGTACACCTTTGGTGTACCCCATTTGTTCCCCACCTCCTTCTCCACCACTCATTTTATCTACTTTTTATTTATTTAATTTTTTTTAAAATTCTTGTCCATTTATGTGGTAATGAAGGGGGTGGGGGACAAATGGGATACACCATTTGGTGTACCCCTAGCATTTTTCTTTCAAATATTGTTTGGAATATAGTAAACCCTAAACTCTAATTTCTTCGTTCCAAAAATTTAGGATGTATCTGGTGAACAAACAAAAGTTTTGAATTCTTTTTATGTGTTTGGTGAAGCAAACAAAAAAGAAATCGAAATCAATCTCTCCAGATATCATAAATCCTTCAAACAGAGGGTTTTCACATCTCCTGAATTTGGAAATATCAATATGGAGGTTAGATATCTCTCTCGATCATTGATCATTCTCCGTCACCAGCTACCATTGTTGCCGCCAACCACCCAGCGCTTATCACTGATTAAGTCATAATTTTAAATTTCTCCAAACCAATTCGTTTCAGATTTCAAAGTTCGTATCATTTCTCTCAGATTTTATAACATATATCTTATCATATCTCAAAAACTCACCAAACAGGCTCATATTTGCTTTTTACTTTTATATGGAGTAGAATTTAAGATAATGATATATTTTGTTTTTTTCTAATAATTACTCTTGATATGATTAATAAAAATATGGTATCATGGGTAAATTAGTAGTGAAATTTGCACTAAATAGGACTAAAACATAATGACTTTCCTAATGTAGGACTTAAATATTTTTATTCACTAAATAGGACTTAATAATGACCTAGTGGAAGGAATAATGTCTAGGAATAATGTCTTGGGAAAGTCATTGGCTTTGTTTGGGGACAGCGTTTTCGATTAGCGTTAGCGTTTTGGATAAAATTTTAATGGTGTAGATTAATTTTGAAAACGCTAACTCTAAAGGCTACCGTCGGATAGGCTTTTCAAAACGCTAACGCTAATAGCTAATGTTGATGCCAAACGGGGCCATTATGTTTTAGTCCTATTCAGGTAAATTTCTCAAATTAGTACTCTTTTTTACTATGAAATGTTTTTCTCTCTTTTCTGTTAAGACCATCCAAAAATGTTCTCTTAGTTTCATTTTTTAGTGAACTTTTTAAGCCTAAAATATATTTCTACCCATCACCCCATCTTATTAAAACAAACTCTCATTTTTTAGAGTAGAGACATCCTTTTAAAGTCTATATTTTTTTATAACACTCCTAAATAAGTTTGTCAAGTGAACACGGGAAAAAACTTTCGGGCGAAAGGAATAGTAAATAGATATGATGTGCTAAATAAATATAAAATTTGTAAAGCTAAGACTATTGGGACAAAAAAGAGAAAATGTTTTAGAGTTTCCTCGATTTGTATAATTTTTGAACTTTAATCACAAATTTATGGCAAAAAGGCATAAACCTTGTACTTGCACACTTTTAGAGACTCGCGCGGCCCATGCTTATCATAGTTTTCTGACTTTTCTCTAAGCATGGTTGTCAAGAATTAAACTTAGATGTTATTCTCTATCTGTGCATCTTTTTACCTTGCCAACTGCGCAAGACCACTGGCGGAGAGTATTTTTGATTCGTGAAAATATACTGCATAATTTTACTCCCTTCGTCCTAAATATGCTCATTTACTATCAACATGATCAAACATTAATCAATTTCTTTATTTATTTTCGTTAATTATTTGATAAATTAATATAACTATGATGGTGTAAATTATCGACTGGTATATCGTTTTTAGCCCGGCTAAAATGATAAACTAGTCTAAAAAATACACCAAAATATAAACACATGAATTTTTACGTGGAAACCTAAATCGGGAGAAAACCACGGGCCTTTTTTGGCGGTACCTTGCCAACGGGGGATTTTTATTAATATCGGGGGTGTGTACACGGTACATAATTTAGGCTAGGAAGCCATTAATGGAGCTTTTGAGCTCTTGAAGAAGAAGAAAAATATATACTCTAAGAACTTTGTAGAGAGAGAGTAAATGGGCAGGGAAGGAGTGAAGAGTGTGAATTGGCCTCCCCTTCACATTGGGGGCACCCCTCCTTTTATAGGAGGGGGGAGAAGCATCTTTGGGGAATATTCTCTTATTCCTCCATTTTATTAAACAGGTCCGGTTTGACTGTTCTTCGTAAACAATTGGGAAATGTGGGCCGAGCCACGTATTATTTCCCATCAAGAAGTCCTCCACTTTTTTAAGTTGTGAGAATCATCAACTTGAAAAAGTAAACAAGTCCTCCGAGTGCTATCTTCGATCTTCGTACTTTGGATTCTTGACCGATTGATATTATTGCTAGTCCTCTGAGTCTTCATTAATTCTCCAGTTTCTTGAATCAGAAGGTTTTCCTGCAAAAATAATATGTACAACATTTTTTTTGACCGGCCTATGCCGTGCTCAAATTATTATTTTTACCGAGGAGCTCGGAGTTAGAGTGATTAGACTTCGCGCGAATAATTATTGTAACAAGAGCGTTGTCAGTTCGATAAAGCAACGATGCTTCGAGTAGTTATACGACACCGGAGTTAGTACGATGAAGCGGCGGTGCTTCAAGTAGTTATTTCGTCGAGACCGATGTTAGTACGAACTAAGTAAACGATGCATGACAAAATTAGTATACAGACGACATTGACTTTAGTTAATAAGAATTGAGTACGTTGCAGCAGCTTTGTTGAAGATCGATGCTAGTGCAAATATCTTTGTGTCATGTAGAGATCACTTCTGGAGTGCCTTGTTCAAAGGGCCTGAAAAATCGGGCGTCCCCGATAAGGGCTCAGCTGAGACACCGGTGTACCCAATTCGATTGGGTCCAGACTTACGAGAAAATATGTGCAAGACCGGTGTGTATATCATTCTTGGCCTGTCTCGCGCACAAGAATGATATTTACCAGCGTGCCAGGCCGGGCCTGTGTCACATATTTTAATATTTTTTTTATTATACTGAGCGAGACCGGTGTAGTAACCAGCGTGCCAGGCCGGGCCTGTGTCTCAGTCTTCCTCTTTTTTTTTAATACTGAGCAAGACCGGTGTCGTAACCAGCGTACCAAGCTCGGCTTGTGTCTCGGTCTTCCTTCCTTTCTTTGTAAAGTATTGAACAAGACCGGTGTAGTAACCAGTGTGCCAAAAATAAGTCCCATAATTTTGAGACCCTCTCTAGTGGGTGGGCCACTGGGAATTATCTCTTTTTTCTGTCCAATTGTTTATGGAGTATTGCCTGTGAATCAAATATGCCCACCAAATAATTTGAAATTGAGCCTCCACCAGCTGTATTTGGATCATATCCCTTTACTGTGCACATCACATTAATTTTTGAGATTCTCCTTGTCTTCTTCCTTTGAACTTTAACTTGCCGTGTTATTTGAGGCCCCATGATGAAATAAGTGAGGGATCAACCCACGTAGCCCAGTAGCTTTTTTTTTGGATCAAAGCTAATGTTTTACTCTTTACTTTGTTGGCCAGCAAATTTCCGTAGCTCTTTCTTTCTTGTTTGAGATGACCAAGTAGGGCCACATCCTTCTTATATTGATCAAATCCTGTTGTGAGGACAAGAGAAAAGATACAAAGAGCAAAGCCCATCATGCACTCTGCATTTTTTTCAGCACAGTAGCACAACCATGTGATCTTGATCTACTTTCCGGCGTCAGGCTTTGATGCAAGCACGGGGTAGATTTCATTCGAGGTTCGAGACCTCTAGACGTCAACGACGTCGGCGCAGGAGTGGTGGCTGGCCTCAACGACGTCGCTGCAGAGCGGTTGTTTCAGCGACGGCTGCGATAGTTGTTGGCTTCCGTGGTAACGACGGCGGACCTCAACGGGAGTGCGGGTGCGTGTATATTCGGCGGCTTCTGTGGCAGCAAATTCAAATGGTGACCAGCAAGTGTTTGAGCACCCTTGCATTTGTGGATGCATGCAGGATAGGTGGCCAACAAAAGCTAGTTGGCGGCGGCGGTAGTTGATTTCTACTACAACATCTAGATCTGCCCCCCCTCAACGCGGTTCGTAGGCGGCGGCAAGTCTCAAGACCAGCGGCGGCGGCAGGTCTAAGCAACGGCAGCGGCGGCGACGGCGGATTTGAGCAGCGGTGGCAGCGATCAACTTCCTCTATTTGATAATGACTTTGGATTTTAACCGCGGCTATCCTCACCGTCCGGAGGTTGCGAGGGTGGATTGCAGCGGCGGTGGCTATGAACCTTCAGTATGGCGTTGGCGTGCGGTTGCTGGACCAGCGGCTGTGATGGACTTGGGCGGCTTAATCAGTCTATGGAGGCCGTGCGGCCGAGCAACGGCGGAAGCAAATCCCGAGAACAATGGTTGCCGCGGACGGACATATTGGACAGCAAATACGTAGATGAACTTTGGCTCCTTCTCGCATTGATCTCCTGCTCCTTCTGTTAGCTATGACTTGCTTGTAACAGCAGCTTGATGGTGATCTTTAGCATAACAATCGCCCTTTTTGAGGAATGGCAGCACTCCATCTGCAAATATTTGAACAATAGGCTATTGTATCTCTTTTCCTCTTTTTTTTTTTGTTGTTGGCGTGGGGAGGAAAGAAAAAAAGTATCATGCTCCCCTCTCTCTCTTTTTTCTCGTGTAGCCATCCTGTGACTCTATTTTTCTCTTTGATCTCTCTCTCGTTTGTGGTATTCAATGGGTAAACTCTCGGTCCCACGGTCGGCGCCAAAATGATGGTGTAAATTATCGACTGGTATATCGTTTTTAGCCCGGCTAAAATAATAAACTAGTCTAAAAAATACACCAAAATATAAACACATGAATTTTTACGTGGAAACCCAAATCGGGAGAAAACCACGGGCCTTTTTTGGCGGTACCTTGCCAACGGGGGATTTTTATTAATATCGGGGGTGTGTACACGGTACATAATTTAGGCTAGGAAGCCATTAATGGAGCTTTTCAGCTCTTGAAGAAGAAGAAAAATATATACTCTAAGAACTTTGTAGAGAGAGAGTAAATGGGCAGGGAAGGAGTGAAGAGTGTGAATTGGCCTCCCCTTCACATTGGGGCACCTCTCCTTTTATAGGAGGGGGGAGGAGCATCTTTGGAGAATATTCTCTTATTCCTCCATTTCATTAAACAGGTCTGGTTTGACTGTTCTTCGTAAACAATTGGGAAATGTGGGCCGAGCCACGTATTATTTCCCATCAAACTATATGTTAGCTTTTGTTTCGTAGAGTCTGATATAATTTTTAAATATATATTTTTAAATTTTTAATTTTATACCTATATTCAAATAAATTAAATTTAAATTTTTTTTCTTCAAATCTCATAAACTAATACTACCTCCGTTTCTTAAAACCGTTCCTCTTTCATTTTTTTGTTTTTCTTAAAATACTTCCCTTTTCTATTAAAAAACCACTTTTACCCCTACTTTTTCATACCCTACCTATCACATCATTTTTTTCACTAACAACTAAACTATCGCATCTTACTTTTACACATCACATCAAGAGTAAAATTGGAAAGTCAACTACAATTTAACACTTCCTTATTTCCCCTCAAAGTCAAAAGAGGAACTTTTTTGAGAAATGGAGGGAGTATTTTTTGAGGAGAGAGGCTATTTTAGCACCGAGTATAAAAGAAAGTGAGGGATGGAGACTTGGAGTGTGTTACCGAAGAGGCGCGAGCATGAACACGTGGACGCCCAACAGTCGACCCCATGCATGCGGACACGTGTCCACGTCGGCGGTTTCTTTCATAAACTCCTCCTGCGAATTTACGCCGCTCTACTCGTCAGTAGGAATTAAGAAAAAAACTTCCTCCAATAGTTAAACCATATATATATCGTCACTCGATCTATATACCTTCAATTAAAAATTAACTAAATATGATGAATATCTTGGCTTTGTCTTTAATCCTGTCCACACTACTGGCGGCGGAGGTTTGGTCTCCGCCGCCGCCGCCGCCGGAGAATACCCAAGACGTGATCGTGAAGGAGGGTCACCGGGTTGTTGTGGTGGAGTACGACAAGGACCACGGGTGGAACACCAAGATCTCCATTTCTCCCCACGTCGTTCACGAGGAACGAACGGCGGCGGCGGAGAAGACGGAGGAAGGCGGCGGGAGTGGCGTTCGCGATCATCATTGGATGGAGAAGACGGGGGCGGCGAATCCGAGAGAGCTGGTTTGTGATGCCTTCGGCAAGTGCAAACACAAGATCGCCAGCGCTTTGGGTATGGCCAAAGATGCCGCGGAGACGGTAGGGGATGCGGTGGGGAAGGCGAGAGAAACCGCCGCGGAGAAGGTGGAGGAGATGGCGGGGGAGGCAGTTGACAAGGCGTATAGGGTGGAGGAAGGGGCGAGGAGCACCGTGGGAGAGGGGTTGGGAAAGGCTAGAGACAAGGCAACGGAGATCGCCCGCGAGGCGGCTCACGCGGCTTATACGGCGGAGGAAGGGACTAGGCGCACCGTTGGCGGTGTGGTGGATGTGGCCGGGGAGGTGGCCGTGAAGGCGTATAACATGGCGGGGGACGGTTTGGGAAAGGCTAAACACGGTGCGGTGGAGGTGGCGGGAGAGGCGGCCGAGAAGGCGTATGACATGAAGGAAAAGACGAGGCACGCCGTGAAGGACGGGTTTGGGAAGGCGAGAGACGCGGTGGCGGATAAAGGCCACAAGGCGGCGAGTGCAGCCACGAAGGCAGCAAAGAGGGCGTACGAGGCGGAGGAGGAAGCGGTGGCCTCCGTCAAAGGCCAACTATCCGCGGCGGCCGAAAGAGTGGAGGAGGCGAAGGAGACGGTGAAGGGCAAAATTGTCAAAGCGGTAGAGGAAGCGTTGGGGATGGCCAATTTGGCGGGGCTAGCGACGGCGTACGGGATGGGGGTGTGGGTGACATTCGCGTCGAGTTACGTGTTGGCTCGGGCTCTCCCAAGGCAACAATTCGGGCTCGTACAAAGCAAAATTTACCCGACCTATTTCAAAGCCATGGCTTATAGCATCGGGATGGCTCTTTTAGGCCAGTTCCTGATGATGAGTTGGCCAAGGGAGGACGAGTACGAGAAGTTGGTGGGCCTCGTCAACCTTCTTCTCCCACTCGTCTTTGTCTTGGTCAATTTGATCTACTTGGAGCCTCGCGCCACTAAGGTGAGTATTAATAACTACTGTTAGAATACCTTAAAATATAAAACAAGTTTGAGTTTTTGATTGAATTTATGACATAGCATCAAACTCTTCTTGACTATGATAAGTTTAATGAATAGGTGATGTTTGAGAGAATGAAGTTGGAGAAGGAAGAAGGAAGGGGCAAAGATTGCACAACGACGGTGGCGGGCCCCACGGAGAGGGACCGAGCCAGGACCGAAGTGGGGCCCACCGAGGGCGCGACGACGACAACGGTGAAGACGAAGAACGAAATGATAAGATTGGGGAGAAGGCTGAAGAAGCTGAACTCATGGTCTTCATTCCTCAATGTTGCCACTCTCATGTCTCTCACTTTTTACCTTGCTACCCTTGCCCACCGTCTCCAATCTACACCTCCATGTTGACGTTTTATATAGTGTTGGTTGTCGTTTTATATATGATGATGTAGGTGGTTATTTTCTTCCTCTTTTTGTTTCTTCCCTAAAGTGAACTATATGTAGTTTCCTAATTAGCTAGCTAGGGGTATGTGCATTAGAACTAGACACTTGTTTTTTCTTGGTCAAAGTTAGTAAATTTTGATCTTAATTTATGAAAAAAATATTATATTGTGATATAAATTTAATATCAATATATTCATAATGAAGCGTAGTTTTCAAATATCAAATTTTTATAAAATATATCTGTTTATAGATATAGATATTAATGGTTAAAGTGTAATACGGAGTATTAGAGATCGTGAAAAATCAAATGAGAGGGACTTTTTCGAACCTTGCCTAATTAGGAAAAAGACATCATTGTATAAAACCCTGAAATTTTAACATCCTTCTTTACAAATAATAATAATAATAATTGGTGAAGTGGAAATATTTTTCCTCGGTCCAAAAAATCCAAAACAAATAGACAATTGAAATTACTCCCTCAGTTCAAATATCCAAAACAATTCTCCGTCTAAAAAGCCAAAATATATATATTTCTATTTTTTAACGAATTTTCATTTAATTACATTACTTGATTAATTGTTTATTGCATCATAGTATTAACTTTAAATTTTTCTAGATACTTCCGGTTTCTTTTAATTTCTTCCAATTTCTTCTAATTTTTCTAATTTCTTCTATTTTTTTCATTTTTCCCAACTAGTTTTATTTTTCTTCAAACTCTTTCTATTCAAGTTTTTTTCCATTTTTTTTTGACTATTCTCATTTTTTCCTCCTTGTCTTATATGGGCTCGATTGTGGACACTTATTTTAGTTTTTTATCGTTTCTCGATTGGGTTTCTTTTACTTTTGTTCTCCGTTCGCTTCATAACTATAGATTATAAATTATTTTAGTTTTAATTTTCCCGTTGTCACATTGTCACTATTTTAACGATTCACACTCTTCTAAATTGATAAGAGCAAAATATTTTTCAAATTTTCATGAAAAAATTTGAAAGTTAAAATATTGTAGAAAAAATACTAAACTATGAGTAAAACATAAAAGTGTACCAAATATGAGTTTTTTATTTTTTATTCCCAAAATAAGAGTTACAATGAAAATATAATGCCATTCATGAAAGAAAAACAGATTTGATCACATTACGTGACAGGTCTGATTTCAAAAAAATCTTGTAATATAAAAATCTAATTACACATATATGTTTTTATAATAAATGTAACATAAATAAATTGAGGTGCAACGTATCCACAATAACTTTTTTAAAATTTAACATTTTAATATTTATTCTAACTTTATATTCTAATTATTTTTTTGTGAAAGTAGATTTTTGTATATGAAAAATGACTTTATTTTAAAGACATTGATCAAGATAATCTAATTATGAATTTAATAATAATAATAATAATAATAATAATAAATAAATTATAACAACAACAACTAAAATGTGAATAATTTTTTTTTTTATTTTTTAGATTTTCCAAATTTTTTAGTTTTTCCTGTTCCGTCTAACTTCTTTTAGTTCATTCTAGTTTTTTCTATTTTCTTCCAATTTTTGGGTGTATCTTCCAAAATTGTTATATCTTTACGTGTTTGGTTCTATTTTGTTTTTTTGTATAGTTCTTGTGCTTTAAAATTATTGCCAAATTTAATAATGACTTTTATTAAAATTTAAATATTAAAATATAAATTTATATTAAATTTAAAAATATCACATAATTAGAATAATGTACATGTAATAATATTGGGCTCTAAAAATTTAGAGGCCCTGTGCGGGTGCACATCCTCTCGACTGCCCATGGAGTCACATATAAAATACTCAAAAAATATAAAAAAATTATCGTTTGTGTATTTAAATTTTCATTTTTTAATTACTTTTGATCATAATTTAAAACTATTACTCCCTCCGTCCCTGAGTATTTGTCCACTTTTGACTTTTTTTGGTCAAAATTAGTAAACTTTGACCTCAAATTAAATAAAAATGATATTAGATATTGATACAAAAAAAGTTTTATTAGATTTATTATATCAAGTATTTTCAAAATATTATTTTATTTGATTAAAGTATAATATACGGAGTATATTTTATTTAATTATAGGTCAAAGATTAAAAATAGTTGACCGGAAAAAGTCAAAACTAGACAAATACTCAGGGACGGGGGTAATATTTTATATATTTGGTAAGTTTGTGTACTTTATTAGTATTTTGTTTCTGACTCTACTATTTTTTTCATTTTTTTCCTTTTTTTCTTCTTTCGTTTTTAGGTAAGATATGGTAATCTTTACGGCACCCTTCATTTCGACTGACCCTAATCAGCAATGAAAATCTTAGATTTCTGGCCTTTTCCTTTTTCTAATCCAAAAGAATATTCCATATAAATCTTTCTATAATATGGAGTTTTTAAATTTTAAAATATAAAACACTTTAAAAAATATTGAAGCTCTGAAAACCCAAGTTTCCGACCCCAGCTGTGGGTTGAACAGCAAGAAACCCAATGGGTTCAGATTGCTGGGAATATGGAAGCTGATGTTTCGATTCCCTCATCATCAGCATCAGCAAAGCTATAATCTTTTTCCATAATTTTAATCTCTTTTTGTATTTTCAAGAAAAAAAGGAGAGGATTTTTAGGGTTTTGAAATCTGGAGCTATGCTCAATCTTTCTGCTGTGTTGTTTCCCGTCTTTCTTCTGGGCTTTCTCTCCCTGATGGCTCATACGACGCTTGCTAATATCGTTTTGATTGGTAGAAACACTCTTCTGGCTTTCGAAGACATCGAGGCTAACTTTGGTTAGTATATCTCTTTCTTTTGTTTTTTTGTGATTATAAGTTTTGGTTTTATAGATTTGGCATGTGCTAGTGTTGATTAATGTTCAAATCTGGGTTTCTTGTGATCTTGGCGATCAAGAGTTTTATGGGTATGATTTTGATGGGTAATTGAAGCAGAAATCTTGTGTTATGATCTCTTTTTTATTCTTCTTTTTGGTTGAAATTTCATTCAAGAACTCATTTTTTGTCTGTTTGGACTTTGGACCTGTTTTATTTCTAATGGGATCTAGAAATGGTGTCTCTTGAGCATTGTATTTCTGTGTGTTGTGGCAAGCACAAACTAAAACACGAGTTTTAAGATCAGTTTTATTTAACATGTAAAGGTTTGGGCTACTTGTCTATCTTCTGAACTGATACCATACATGGATAATAATAATAATGACTTGGATTCAAAGTTTTGCTTGTAGTAAGGGAAATTTAGGTTAGTAAATTGCTAATTTTAGTAATTCTTCTTTCTGCCCATATATTCATATATTTGCACTTTCAGCTCCTTCCGCAACGGGATCAGGGGAATGCGGGACATTGCATGTTGCTGAGCCATTGGATGCATGTTCACCGTTAAGCAATAAACTCGGCCCATTGGTTCAAAACAGCACCAAACCCCCATTTGTGTTGATAATAAGGGGGGGATGTAGCTTTGAGGATAAAGTTAAAAGAGCACAAGTTGCAGGATTTAAAGCAGCCATAGTCTATGACAGCCAGCCCGGGGACTTAGTAGCAAGTAATGAACTTCTCCCAGTGGCTAGCTATTCATTTAATATGCATTTTTTCATGACTGTATTGCTTTACTGCTTCATCTCCACTGCCTTTGGAGCTATAGAGTCATTATTGACAATATCATAGCTTCGAGTTGGTAATGGATTAAATCAAAATGTCATTTTGTATAGTTTTGGGGAGTAAATGCAGCAATCCATCAAGGGTATAATTGGAAGAATATCACTTTTTTACAGGGGTAAGATTGTGTACATCTTGACCACCCAAATCCCAACAGAGTTGGGACTATACTAAGTTTTGTTGCTGTATTACTGCTCTCTCCGGAAAAAAAAGTCCAATTTGTGGTAGTGATTGCAAAACTGACCTTTTTTTTGGCCGGAGGCGGTATAGTGTTGATATATCATTGGGTGAATAGCATTTAAATCTCCTGAGGTTTAGTCAATTTTCCAAGTCATCCTTGAGGTTTCTAAAATTACAAACAATCCCTTTTGCAAGTCCTTTTTTTTGCAAAGGACACCGAAATATCATAACCAATTCTTATTTTTCTTTTACTAAAGAAAACTATATGTGCCGAAAGGGCATTTTGCAGAAAAAAAGAGTGGTAATGTGGCTTATTTGTAATTTTCTCGAAACCATAAGGGCGTATTGGTAATTAAACCAAAACCCCCCCTTTCGAATCATACACTAGCATTCCACATTGATTACCCAAGTATATGATTAACTCACACAATTGAAAATTCAGTGGCAGGAGGCTCTAGCGGCGTAAAGATACCCGCAGTGTTTGTGTCAAAAGAATCCGGTCAAGCATTGACCAAGTATGCGGGTGATGCTGATGTGGAAGTATGGATCATCCCAACCATTGAGAACTCGGCTTGGTCAATCATGGCCATATCATTCATATCACTGCTTGCCATGTCAGCAGTGCTAGCCACCTGTTTCTTTGTCAGGCGACATCGCGTCAGAAGAGAGAGGCCCTCCTCTCGGACCACTACTACGACTACACGTGTTAGAGAGTTTCATGGGATGAGTAGGCGGCTCGTCAAAGCTATGCCGAGTTTGATATTTACCACAGTTGTTGAGGATAACTGCACTTCGGTTACGTGTGCTATTTGTCTTGAAGATTATAGAGTTGGGGACAAGCTCAGGGTTCTACCGTGCCGCCATAGTAAGTCATCTTTCTCTTCAATTAGTACTCCCTACATCAAAAGTTCTACAAAATAAGAGGTGACATGACTTTATATATCTTATCAAATGGGTAACAAAAATCAGTAAAGAAAGTGATTAAAGTTTCTACATGTCTTTGACAATTGGTGTCATATTTGGTGTTTTTTTTGCTTGGCATACCTATCAGAAGACTAATGTTTGAGATTTTGACAGAGTTTCATGCCAAGTGTGTTGATGCTTGGCTGACATCATGGAGAACTTTCTGCCCGGTCTGCAAGCGCGATGCTAGAACCAGCACAGGGGACCCACCGCCATCAGAATCCACTCCGTTGCTCTCGCCGAGCGCTTCTCTCTCTTCATTCTCATCCCTTAGGTCGTCGCTCGCGTCATCGCCGTCGGCCTCCATACAAATAGGCGCCTCGACGTCCCGGGCCCCGTCACGTCCTCTATCATTTCAGTCATCCGTCCGCTCGCCCAACCTCATCGCGGGTGACCGAAGGGACCCGCAGTCCTCCCAACGGTCCCGTTCTTCGTACCTTGTCTCGCCCCACTCCCTATCCGTAGGGTACCCTTCCATATCGCCTCTTAATAGCTCTAGTAGATACATGTCTCCGTACATTCCGAGTCCGGGCAATTCGTCCACCCGGCATCCGAACCCGCTCCGTCACAGCGAGTCGTACACGAGCTTTTCACCGTATGCCTCGGCCCAATCGCTGCCGGGTTGCGACTAGGGGAGAACAAGAAGAGTGTCTTTTTTTGAGGACTTTTGTAATCTGTACATTACAACATATTAATATTGTGTTGTTGCTGCTTTGCTTTGTGTGTTTTCAAATTTGAGCTCAGTGGTTGGGAATGATATTTAGATGATTCTGAGTTGTGTGTGTGTGTGTGTGTTTGTACATATGGCTGATGTATTATGAGTATATTTATGCTTCTCATTCAATATTTTGTGAGATGTAACAACTATATATGGCTGGTATATTAGGTGTTTGTCAATTGTGAGTACTCTAAATAAGGATGACGACAACGGGTTGGGTTTGGATTGGATTTTGCTGTACTCGAACTTGACTTGAGTTAAAATTGGGGTATTTTTTCATCTCTCCGGTAACGGGTAAATAATATTAAAAAGAATAATGTACAAATACAACGGGCATACCCGCGAACAAGGGGTAGACACTCCCCATAAGACAAACCAAAGAGGAACATAGGCACGCAGGCCCAAACAGAATCAAAGGCATGCAGGCCCAATCAGAGTCAAAGGCACGCAAGCCCTGGTAGAATTACACCAAAAGTGGATAAATCAAACTAAAAGTCAATGCAAACATATGGACAAAGACGCCCAAGAATTGTATAAACCATAACTTTAATTTTACAAACAAGAGTCGTAATATCAAGAGGCTTATGATCAAAACAAACCTCATTCCAAAATTGTTTTCATCTCTAATACAGAAGCAGGGCGGGTTTGGGATTTTTAAAGTCGGAACTAGTTAAAAGCTTGTTTTCTTCAACTTATTTTTTTAATTGCTCCTTCCATTCTAAAATGATCTTCACAGCTCGATTTACGAGTTTTGGTTGAAATTGTTTTCAATTCAATTTATTTGATTATAGATGTAAAATTGAAAATAAAAATATATATTTTATAACAATATCAAAAGTTTTACAAAACAAGATGTGAAATGAATATATTATATCAAATACGTAACGAAAATAGGTAGAAAACTGATTAAAATTTGACCATGTGAATAATGATTAAGAATATCAGTTTAGGACGGAGGGAGTATTACTTATTAATATTGGAATAATGGAATTCGATCAGATACAACTTTAAATATAATTACAATTATATCAGATCAAAACTTAATTGAATCAACTCTGGTACTGAGTACTACTTTTTGCGCAATATATATTGTACTGCATCCGTCATCCACCATGAATACTCATTTACAAACAACTGACTACTCATTTTCGAACAAGTGAATACCTATCTTCGAATAACTGAGTACTCATTTTTCTAGATTTCAGTTATGCTCAAAAATAAGTATTCAATTATTCAAAAATGAGTCTTTTGTTACTTGAAAATGAATATTTATTTACTCGATAGTGAATATTCACACGAATGTACGGGAAATACCATACATACATTATATGTACTCTGCTTTTTGTCTCGCTTTGTTTTCCACTATTTTTATCACTCCTGCGACGTTGCTGCTTGATCGAAAGAAGGTGCGTGATGACAGTTCAATTTTTTTGTCCCGCCTGCGTTGATTGAAGAGCAACAAGCCGCGTGACCTAAGCACGTGCCGTCGCCAACTTTGATTAGAGATTTGAAGCTTATCTACGGGATAATAATGGATCAAGTTCTGCCGTCATTGCCAACTTTTACAGGTTAAGAATGACTACGAACAGGTAGAAAGAGTTGGTTCAATGGAAAGCCCATACTTTTTACTACTCATCCCCGTCCTAAAAACTTTTTCTCAACACACGCCGATTGTGTTGTTTTCACAATGACATGCATAGACAATAATCTATAGATAGATGTGTCGTTTGTGGATGTCTATGAGACATACTGGTGTCACACCGATGATGTTAAAATACTCTTTTACCATTTTCCGCTAAACTATTCATCATCTTCAGTCCGACTGGAACCGGCCAGCTTGGCAAACCATTCATTCCCATTAACAGACTGCCTCAGCCTCTCAGCATCATCCCACCGTCCAACAGAAGCATAAACATTAGCAAGAAGAGAGCGGTAACCGCCGCCATTCTCCACACCCAAACAGTGCCTTGCTGCCTCCTCGCCAATCTCCAAATTACAGTGCAGGCTGCAACCATGAAGCAAAGCACCCCACACCCCAACATGGGCCTCCATTGTCATCCCCTTTATCAAACCATAAGCTTCTTCTAGCCTCCCGGCCCGGCCCAATAGACCGACAACAATACCGTAATGATCTACGGTTGGAGACAGCCCGTACCTCTCCTCCATGCATCTAAAGAAACGGTAACCTTCTTCTACCAATCCCATGTGTGAATAAGCAGTCAAGATTGCAGTAACTGTTGCTAAATTAGGTTTGATTTCGGAGCTGATCATTGCGTTGAACAGCTTGATTGCGTCATTAGCCTTACCGTTAATTCCGAATCCCAATATCATAGCAGTATAAGCAGTGACGTCTTTGTTTTGTAGACCCAGAAACAAAGCGTAAGCTTTTTCTGTAATGCCGCACTTCGCGTAAAGATCAAGAAAAGCTGTTGCGAGATGATCGTCCATCTGGATTCCTTGTTCCTTCATGTATGATTCAATCCAAGAACCTGATTTTAGATCTCCCAGTTGAGAACAAGCTGAAATGGCAGAAGCTAATGTCATGTAATCAGGTTGCAGCTTTGATTCAAGCATTTCGTCGAACAGCTTGAGAGCTTCTTCTGGTCGGCCATTTTGAGCGTATGTAGATATCATTGCATTATAAACGATGTGTTCTTTTTCATCAGAAATTTCATGAAACAGCTTCCTAGCAGATTCCACATCCCCAGATTTCGAGTACCCGGAAATCATGGCCGTGAACGTGATTTGATTCTTTCTTTTGTCCATAGAATCAAAGAAGCTACGAGCTAAATCTATCTTTCCACACTGTATGTATCCACTTATCATTGCATTCCATGAAGCACAACTTCTCTCGGGCATTTTCACAAACAGTTCGTATGCACTCTCCATATTCCCAACCCCTGCATACCCAGAAACCATCGAGTTCCAAGAAACCACGTCTCTTTCTGGAATCTCATCAAACACAACCCTTGCCGTTTCCATGTCTCCCGATTTCACATATCCAGACAGAATCGAGTTCCAAGAAACCACATTTCTCACAGGCATACCGTCGAACACCTTCCGTGCACAACCCATTCTCCCCATCTTCGAATAAAAATCAACAAGAGAAGTTTGGACATAAACATCCCCACAAAACCCATACTTCCAACTCTGCGCATGAAGACAACTCCCCGAGACCACATCCCGAATCCTCGAACACGATTTCACGGCGGAAGAGATTGCAAAGGTGCTCGGGCTGCCGATTCCGAGACTCTGAAACCGAACATAGAGAGAAATCGCCTCTCCGAACTGAGAATTCTCAGTGAGAATCCGAATCGCGGATCCAAAACAAAAGGTGTCCGATTTGTGCATATGCTGAACCATGGATTTGACGTACTGGAGAGTGCTTCCGCCGTGAGATTTTGCAGAAAGGAGGAGGCGGAGGAGCAGGGGAGGCTCGAGATCGCGGAGGCCGTTGGTGAGTATGACGCCATGGATTTGCTTTGCCTGGTTGATAATTAGATGTTTGTCTAACAAAGCTCTGAGCTTTGGTTTCAGCATATAAAGAAGAGAGAGATTATAATATGAAACCTTTCTTCTTCGTCCAAACGGATCGCAAGTTTCTGAAACCAGCGGAATTGAGCAGGCTTGACTCTTGAGTGAGCTAAAAAGCCATAAATTTATATTTAAAAAAAATAAATGTGTCCCATCTATAAGCTTGTACAATATAATACGGAGTAATACAATATTTATTTTATATATTTATGTACCGATATATGAATTCATTTCACATATTTATGTACGAGTTGAACCCATTATAAAATACTCCGGAGTATATGTATTTACATTTGATAATTACATAATACTCATTACGTTTGTATAGAATATTTTTTACGAATAAAATGATACTCATTTTATTTCATATATTTATGTACGGATATATGTATTACATTCACATATTTATGTACGAATTTAACACATTATAAAATACTCTGGAGTATATGTATTTAAAGTTGATAATGTATATAACTTTCATTACGTTTATACTACCTCCGTCCCATTTTATAATGCCTGTTTCGGTTTACGATGTTTGACTGAAATTATTTTCAAACCATTTTATATGATAAATGGTATAGAATTAAAAAATAAAGGTTACATATTAAAAAACTACATCAAAAGATCTACAAAACTAGTAGTGACAATAATATTTTATTTTATCAAATTGCTAACGAAAATAGAGAAAGAAAGTGAATGAAGTTTGACCCTGTGAATAATACACAGGCATTATAATTTGGGACAGAGGGAGTATATGATATTTATTTATGAATAACACAATACTCATTTCACATAGAGTATGCATAGGGCTGTAAACGGATAACCGAAAATTCGATTACCGTCCGCATCCGTATCCGTTTATATGGAAAATATCCGCATCCGTTAAAAGCGGTTATTATCCGTATCCGATTAAGGATATTCGATTGCTAAACGGATACGGATTTGGTAATCATACATCCGATCCGTTTATAATCCGCTCCGCATTGACATCCGTTTAAATACCCGTTTATCCGTATATCCGATCCGTTATATATAGTCTTTCCTAATTTTTTATTTTTANCTCAAAGTATAAGACATTTTTATATGCAAAATATATGTGTAAACACATAAAAGTATGTGTATATATGTATTGTGTATATCATTTTATGATATGAAGTTATCGTAGAATATCATAAACTATAAAAAATAAGAAAATTAATATCCCATAAAAATTATAGTTGATTTAATAATATTTTAATTTAGTTTAATTGAAAATTCAAGTATTGTTTAATTTAGTTTTAAAAATTGGAAACGGATACGGATATATCCGATATCCGATCGATATCCGACGGATGCGGATACGGTTTTGATTTTTCAATATCCGTCTAGATCCGTATCCGAATTCGATATCCGACAAAAATAAACGGATGCGGATTTGGTAATGGCACATCCGATCCGATTAAAATCCGTTTACACCCCTAAGTATGCATATATATATGAGAAAGTGTGTCCGATATATGCATTTCATACCCTTACGGAACACTTTTAAGCAAACATGTTTATTACTCCGTATAAAATGCTCCTTGCGTTCATAATTTTTGGTCATTATGATTTTTGAGATGTTGAATGAATATTGACATATATCGGGTCTATATTCATTCAACTACGGATCTATCTGAAAAGTCATAATGCATCTAGTGGAGAAACTACCCTCAAGAAGCGTGGAGGCAGGAGATTAGGAGACCCTTGAAGCATCAAAACCAGCAGAGGAATGTATTATGTTGAGAAGGTTGGGAGGTATTAGGGAAGATATAATATGAACCTCATTTGGGTCAAACAAAATATTGTAGATTGCTCAATTGGGTCAGGGTCATAAAATGACATTTGAACTCAAATGTCACAATAATTATCCCCAAAACTTTGATGAAAAATTATCTTTGACTAATCTTGAAAAAATGGGGTGTGAATGTATGTATGCATGAGGTAGGTACTTGACACAACTCAAAAGGATTGAGAAAATTGAATATTATTCCCAAGCTGTTTATATTTTGGCGAGCATAAAAATAGAAAATAAAAAATGAATACAACAATGAGTTTTTTTTGGTTCCTTTTGTTACATATTCATTGCTCTATGAGATTCAAAATCCATGAAATCGGCATTAACTTGTTGCCCAAAAGATGAATTGTAACCATAAACATCAATGACCGTATCATCCGCCATTTGTCCGTTTTCTCTTCCCTTGAAGCTCTCCGTAGGAAGAGGAGAAATCCAAGGGCTCTGAGGGGTTGGTAATAGTAGCATGTTGGAGCTACTAGAAGCTTCTTGGTTTGTGTTTTGCGGCGGGTTCTGGTTTTGGGGCGAGTTTCCAGACGGCGGTCTCTTGGTAGCCGCCGCCAGTGTGAGGGAGGCCGCCGCCGCCTGCTGCTGTTGCTGCTGGTGCTGTTGTTGAAGTTGCAGTTGATTTTTCATGGGCGACTTTGGCCTGAGGGCTTCTATTTCTGGGGTTGTCACGACGAGATGCGGCGTGTCTGGTGGTGGGTTCCTTCCTCCTCCACCCTGCCAGACTTTCCCGTCCTTGTCGGCGAAATTTCTCACGTATACCTGAATGTTTTTCAAATGAAATAGTCAGAGATCGATTCAACAACAACAAACTTGGTAAAATCCCACGATAGTAAGGTCTGGATAGGGTGTGTATACAGACCTTATCATCCATGTACTCGAAAGTCGAGGAAAAAAAGTTTCAAAGATCAACGGCGTTGGAAGAATGGAAGAAAAAAAACAAGATCTACAGCAGGAAAGCATTGGATAGGGCTAAATTTGTTGAACATGGAGTGCAAGTGTTTTGTTAGGATCAAGGAAAATGCTAGAAAACGAGACAAAATGCTGAAGAAATCTTTTACTTGTGTTTGGTTTTACAAATGTTATTAAAACATGTATAAATTGATACATAAAATCAGTTCGAATGAATGTAAACATTGATTTAGATTTTCCTCACAAATTTCATTTATATTTCCCCTGTTTCATTCCCTATCTTTTTTCAAGAAACATGAGGAGTGCTTGGTCCACACCATTTTTTGTGGATCTTTTCACATAAAAAGTATTTTTATTTTTGCAAAATATAAATGCTCATTGGGGTAGTAAGCATTTGCTTACCACCCTAATCAAGGTCAACCTAAATTGGCGTGGACCTTAGGTTCACCATAACATTTACCTTACATTGGGACCCGAGTTTCTAGAAGGAAAACCCAGGAAAATTCGGGGAAAAAATGTGTGGGGAAATAAAAAAATATTAAGTTATTTTGACATTTGTTCAAACTTCGTTGATAGCCACGCTTCAAGCAAAATATGATATTCTTGATTTGAACAAACTAATTAAAATAATTGCCAACATGTAAGTTGTTGTATTGTTACCTCAGAATTGAAATTTGATGAAGATAACCCTTTGCCGACAGTTAACCAACCGGTTCGAATGTTATGGTCTTCACCAAAGAGCTCGAGCCTTCTCCGCCCAAGAGCAAAATGTTCAACTATTCTGTACATATCTTCAGGCTTTGCAGTAGATCCTGAATTCAATTTGCAAGAATTCCAAATTTCGTTAGTGAATAAGCACGACACATCACATTTGTTAGAAACATACTCCGTAATTTTTATTGCAAACATAATGTGAATTTTGTAACTAAATAATGTAAATTTGTTTGATATTTTTTAGCAGCAGGGATCCTTTCAGAATATGTGAATGCCAGGAAAATATGATACAATACATATTTAGCCAAACACTGCCCAATAATGGGAATGTCTAAAAAATAGTCCCTGTCTTTATGGATGACTTTTTCTCTGTTCATTCCTTGGTGTTTTAACAAAACATAATGCAAATAGAACGAAAAATAATTGTATTTACTTATTCGAAAACATAGTCTAAAAGTAATCAAACTCAGTGAAATAACCCACCATAAGGAGGCTCCTCGGCAATAATTACATCAGTGTCAATGTTGGCATGAATTATATGGCCATCTGTACTTCGACGGACAGTTCCCTTAATTCCCATCAAGCAGTGTTCCTATATCAAAATGGATATCTAGCTCTCTTCAGAAAGTTACACATGTAGGTGCATATTTTTATCTACATGATACTTGGAGCTCCGTTTGTTTACTAGAAAAAAGTAATGATCATCCTTACCAGGAAAATAGTTTCTTGTGTTTGGCACCGGAAACTATCTTTCTCAAGGAAAATTGTTTTCCTGATTAATTTTGATTTTCATGGAAAACGGCTTCCACTTGACCAAAACAATTTTATTTTCTCTATTTGTGTATTATACATAGAACAACTTGTTTTCTACTTTTCTCTAAACATTTTTCAAGAAAACATATTCCTTAAACATTATTTTCTACATGTTATTTTTCTGGAAACAAATAGCCTTAGAATAAAACAAATTGAGAGTCGAATCTTCACAATAACTTAGAGCTAGTAGAAATGCAGAAAAGGGCACCTTCGAGCGCTGAAGGAGAGTATGTGAATCATGGCGTAATCCCGGGGTGGCATTTGTTTTATTTGTTTTCACCCAACATATATCTTCACACCGGCGAAATCCCCACTGCATGAAAACAGATGAGAATAGATGAGTACCAAATCCTCCATCCACCCATAATGCAAGATTAAAATCGCTTTGTCCCGGTTTTAAAGAAAAGAAACAAGGTTCTTGGTTACCATAAAAAAGATGAAAGGTATAGAGCCAACAAAATAATAAAAACGTGGAGGACGAGGTGCAATGAAATGGAAAGCGTGAAAAGAATCAATCTCACACAACAGAAGAAAGAGGTAGCAATTCAACAATAAATAACATTTTACTTGTTCTAATTAGATATACCTTCTTCAAACATTGGCGGCCCTGCTCAAGCCCAACACCATCACCAACCCAGAGGAAAATAAATGATGGGGTATCAGCCACTGCCTGTCAGATTAAAACAAAAAACACATCAACCACCAATAAAAGGAAAAATTAACAGAGAAATTGTGTGGATAAACCAGCAGTAAAATATGAATGGAGGCACTTGATTGCTCAGTGCTCATAAAATGGAAAGGCCATATCAAGGAGCACTGAAGGAAAAACTACAGTACAGAGTCGATATCCAAATTGGTCCATGGAATGTACATTATTACTCAATCTGGTCCTGAATTTATTTTACTCATTGTGGCCCTCAATTTTCTAACTCAATTGGGTCCTAGACTATGCAATTTAGAATAGATTAAGTTCCCATACATGTGTTCTATTCATGCATTGAGCACTAAAATGGGTCCAAATTACATAATATTATAATAATGGGTCCACTTGAGTCAAAATTAGATCTAAATTCAGTGAGCAGAGAATAATACCCTTCTTATTTAGAGCCATATAGAATTTCATCAACCCACACACAAATACAAGTGTGTGATGACTAAATTAGGTCCAAGTTTAATAGTTATGGACCAACACAAGTCCAATAAAAAATAAGGAGCAATTTGAGTTATAGGATATAAATATGAGTGACTAAATCGAGTATTAGCTGTATAAAAACTCTATACTTCCTCCATCCCAAAAAAATTAACTTTCTTTCTATGTCTATCCTTAAAATAATCAGTCAATTTTATTTGAAAAAAGGAATTCAAGGCTCTCTCTCTCTCTAAATAAATCACAACCACACATAAATCACAACCACACATTTACTATTTTTCTTAATGTTCATGCCTGAACAAAACCTGGCAAAGTTTTGTAGGACAGGGAGTAAAGAAATTAAGATTATAGTGCATGACATTACAAATTATTTTACCTCAATTTTGAGATTCATAATTTCTTCAAACGTCCAGTGCTCCATGTGATCAGTGACACCAGGAGCTCGGTGAACATATTCCTCCCATGGTGGATCTATAAGAATGACATCAAACTTTGTACCAAAGAACTCAGGAGAGAGTTCTTGCTCCCGCAAGTCACATTTGTAATACATGGGAGTAGAAGCAACTTTGGCCACTATCTCATCCTTCTTTTGTAAGAGCTCTCTCAACTTAGGGTAGTCCTCAACAACACTGGTTAGCTCCAGTTCCCTGATGAAATTTTGTGGCCTCATTCCAGTGTCCACAAAGTTTTGGGAGTAGTCATTTTGTTCTCCTCTTGAAGGAGCTTTGCCAGGTGGTGCATTAGTTCTAGGAGGAGGAGGAGGAGGGACCCACCCTCCAGAAGATGATTTATCCTGTGTTTGTCCACGTCCACCTGGCATTACATTGTTAAAAATTGGAGGAGCTCCTCTTCCAGGTCCTGCCGGGTGATTGAAGTAAATCCCAGGATTAGGAGGGTTTCCTATATTGTGTGGGAACCTAATTCCTGAAGGCCCAGGTACTCCAGGCCATACAATGGAAGGTGAAAATGGTGGAATATATACATTTGGGGAAATGGAAGGAACCGGGGAGGGTGACATGTTAGTGTTTAAAGGCGGGGCCATCCCGAGCTGTCCGAAAGGCGACCCTACCATTGGCATTTGAAGAGGTACTTGGGTATGATTGTCTCTCCCAGCTGCAGGCCTCCCTCGTCCCATTCTCCCATGCCTAAGTCCTCCTCTACCACTTTGAGATACAGCACGATTGAAGGAAGAAGGTTCTTGATTTCCATATGGAATTTGTGAACCACTGCTTGTAGTTTGACCACCTTGAGATTCTATCTCATCCCTCCTTGGGTTCAAATTCATTGAACTGGGCCCGCCACCCCCATCACCTCGTGTGTCCTTATTAAGGTCTTCACCAGACTGCCCAGATCCATCATACATGTTTCTCCCCCTTTCATCAATTGAAACTGATGAAGGTTTATTATTCTCATCTCTGTTTACATAATCAAAAGACCGGGTCTGGATCTCTATCACGTCGTAGTTTTCGTTGGAGATTCCAAATTTGGAAGAGGTTTTTACAGCTTCAGTCCTTAATCCATCTTTCCTACTCCCAGACCGAGGTCTCTCATTGTCAATCCAACCTCGTCTAGGCAGTTCCCAATCTCTTCCATGGTCATAAGACGAATCACCTTCCTTGGTGTCCTTCTCGGTAGTGTTTCCTTGTCTTCTCCTCCACCCATCTCTGTTCCAACCATCATCTCTTCCTTTTGTTGATCTATCATCCTTGTAACCATCTTTATCCTGCTCTTTCTTCCTAATGAGCCCTGTGCTCCTTTCATATTCCGGATCAGTATTTTCTGACTCATGATAACGTTTTGCACTTCTTTCTTCGTCAGGAGATTCAAATCTGCCTCTCTTTCCCCTTTCGTAGTCTCCCCTTCTATCCTCCCTGCTCTGTGATTTAACATCTCTGCTATCAATTACGGGGTCCGCCATTCTCCCACTTCTAGACTCAAAATTTTCTACATGGTCACTTTCATCAACTTTTTTAACAGTATTAGCATCTGGCTCATCCCATCGTCTCCTTGAGTTACGTCCATGCTCAGAAGTCCCTTGGACTTTTTCTTTGCTGTTCTCTCTCCTCTCATCAATGCCTTTATGCCTGCTTTGGGAACTGTCATTATCTGGGAATTTGGAAACTGATTTGTCTCCACTGTTGCTATACTTACTATTATCATTTTCCCCATCTTGGTACCAATTACTTAATCTCTCCAATGTATTCTCCTCGGGCTTCTTCCTCGTTGAAGACTTAGAGCTGCTATTCTCCTTTACTATTTCACATTCATCTTCTTCAGTGTCAACCCCTCTACTCGAACCACTCGATCTCCTACGACTCTCATTTCTATCCACATTGCTTCTCTTCCTTCCACTGCTATCTAGTCCCTCGGATTCTTCATTTACGCCCGATCTCCTGGATTTGTTAGACTTGTGTTTTCTCTTAACATCACCTTCCAAATCTTCATCATCAACTTTGAACATATCAAATTCTTCTACATCCTGCTTCTTACCGCTCTTTATCCCTTCGGGCGAATTCATTCAGATAAACTATTCCGAAAATTAAAATAATCCTCTTCAATCAAACTAACTAATTAAAAATCGACCAAGTGTTCGACTAAAACGAGTCTACTCCCCCGGCCAAAACATCATCCTGATAGAGAAATAGAAAGGAATTGATTGAAACACGATTACAGCGAACCTGGGGAGGAGTCGCCAGGCCGACACTCCACCTGGGTCTGGGACACGGCGGCGATAACAGGCACCGGCAATTTGGACGGAGGTGCGGAGATTTTCAGGCAGGTCGACGCGGATCCGGCGGTGAGAGGAAGACTGGACAGGGTAGCGATGTCAGATACTCAGATTTGTTGGGGACTTTGGGGGACTGGTTTCAGATGTTTCAGGGACTAGGGTTTGTTTGGCTTGGTGGTGGGCGAATTTTTAAAACTCGAAATCCTATTCCGTGTATGGAGTAATTTTTTTGGTTGCCCCGGTTTGGAAAGATCCTAGGGTGTATTCAATTGGGATTTTATTGGATTTTTTTAGATTTTAAAAAGTTAATGGATTTGAAAAAATTGTAGAATTCATATACAGTTTGGTTGATTTTTTGTAATATCCATGTAGAGTTTGAGAATTGTATAGAGTCCATGTAGAGTTTGTAAAATATGTGTGTAGAATTTTTGCAAAAATAACTTCAAGGACATAATGAGTAGACAAAGGTGGACAGATCACCTTCTCCGCACAAATCACAAAGTTTGTAAACCAAAAAAATAGCAGAGAACGGAGGACAGAAAACGAACGAACAGAGCAGCGGATCGGGCCAAGGACGTCATCCGGACAGAGTTAGACAGATCAGCGGCCGACGATCGGAGCAACGATCGGATAGACGAGTCACGATCGTACTCGCTATCGGAAGATGAACAGGATCTGGATCCAAATCCGGGAGACTAGCCAGACGAACAGTGGAAGTAAAAACTATGTGTATGTGCGAAAATGGAAGTCCATACAAATCTGGAGGTGTGAGGAGAGATTTTGTAGGAGTGAAATGTAAGCATTTTTTGAGAGAAAATCCAATAAAATCCATAGAGTTTTAAAACTCATAGATTTTTGAATATCTCAAAATTTTTAAAGACTTTTGAAAATCTAAATTGAATACTTCAATATTTTTAAAGACTTTGAAAAATCCTTATTGAATACCTCAAGATTGTTAAAGTTTTTTAAAAATCCAGATTGAATACATTCAGATTTTAAAAATCCAAAAAAATCCAACAGACTCTCAATTCAATACACNGGACGTCATCCGGACAGAGTTAGACAGATCAGCGGCCGACGATCGGAGCAACGATCGGATAGACGAGTCACGATCGTACTCGCTATCGGAAGATGAACAGGATCTGGATCCAAATCCGGGAGACTAGCCAGACGAACAGTGGAAGTAAAAACTATGTGTATGTGCGAAAATGGAAGTCCATACAAATCTGGAGGTGTGAGGAGAGATTTTGTAGGAGTGAAATGTAAGCATTTTTTGAGAGAAAATCCAATAAAATCCATAGAGTTTTAAAACTCATAGATTTTTGAATATCTCAAAATTTTTAAAGACTTTTGAAAATCTAAATTGAATACTTCAATATTTTTAAAGACTTTGAAAAATCCTTATTGAATACCTCAAGATTGTTAAAGTTTTTTAAAAATCCAGATTGAATACATTCAGATTTTAAAAATCCAAAAAAATCCAACAGACTCTCAATTCAATACACCCCCCTTAATCTTAGTGATTTGGTTAAAATTTTAATGGTGGTGATTAATTCTAAAAATGTTAACGCTAAAGACTATTGTCAAATAGCCTTTTCAAAACGCGCTAATGTCAAATGGGACTGTTGTTAAGGTAGCAACTGCATACATCAGGAGTTACTAAAGCTCAGAGATTCACATAAAAGATGCCACAAGAAAGTGTTTGGAGTCTAGTGGCTGCAATGAGGAACACGTATTTAAAGTACCGAGCTCTGTAACTCTGTAAGTACCAGTCATGGAATCTTAATCCTATGTCAACTCATTGAGATTATAGTGCAACTTCCTTTCTCTAAGCTAACCGTTCGACTGGTGTTGAGAGACCCTCGGACATTGGGATTCATCGTTTTTTGGAATTAACAATTGACTTTTTTTATTTCTTTATTAAAATTTATTAATGGAGTATTTGTTTTTTAAAAAAATATAGCCATTGTCTTTTCTTTTATACTCCTTCCGTCCCAATTTAAATTGCATATTTTGATTCACGATGTTTGACTGAAGTTATATTCAATATAATTTATCAGTTCAAGATAACCCATCGGCCGCATCTATCCTTGGAGTTCTAAGTTCCAAATATCTATTTGTATATAAAGTAGTTCTTGAATTATAAAAAGATCTTGAAGTTGGTATGAGGTAGAGATGTACGAGTATAAAATAAATGAAGCTAAATTTGTTGAAAGAAAATATTTAAAGGTGGAAAAGGGATTACTCCGTGGTTGGAAAATAAAAAGAAATCATTAAATATACAGAGATTTTGATTATATTTGTCAATTGACATGCTATTAGAGCTTTATTGACCAAAAGATCTCAAAGCTTAATACTCACCATCATTTATCTATCAAAAAATATTAAGCAATAAAATATTGTTTTAATGTTATATTTATTGTTGACGATAAGATGTATAATAGGGACCTTGGGATGTGTTTGCGGTATCATGATATAGCGGTATCCTAATTATGAATAATTTAGAACTTGTCTGATGTAACTAAAGCTAAAGTGTTGTTAGGTCACAAGAAGCTCGGATTACTTTTCCAATTATGATAAGGTTATGTAAAGGGCGTGTTTTCAATTATTTTCCATTTGTTTCAATGATTAATGAGTTTAATTATTAAAAAAATGCATGTGAACTAATTAAATGTTTTAGTTAAGTAATTTTTCATAATTGAAATTATATTAAGAATCATTGATCAATGGCAGTTATAAGGTTGTAATAAGTGGTTCTAAAAACATTTTGGATCTAAAAATCATTAGAAGAGATTTTTATCTAAATTACCTAAACATCGTATTTAGGAGGCCTATTTGTGTCATATCTTGAGTTTGATTGGACAAGTAATAGAAGTCTGGTAATGTTTACAACAGTACTTCACTTGAATTGCTCGAGAGTAAGACCGGCACGAAGAATGGATTTGTATGCATACATTATTCTACTTGAAAGTAAATAAGACGTTTCAAGAGATCCCAACTAGAGTAACATAAATAACACTACGAGTACAAAAAACACAGCACACAAAAAAGAAGCTAAAAGCAAACAATAATAATTGAGTTATAATTTTGAGACAAAGAATTAATTGTAAATTACCTTCGATTTATTTGGTAAGAATAGACCTTTTTTGAAATATCTACGAAATATAAGTCTTGTTTTCAAGATGGGTGAGATGATTAATGAAAGAATATAAATTGATTCATAAGTTAAATCTGCTTTCAAAACTACAATAACTTTATGTTGCTCTTTTCGTCCTGATTTAATCTTTTCATTTATATTTTTTCTTCATCCAAATTTAATTTTTTCATTTCTCATATACATGTGTATTTGGACAGAAATACTCTCATCTTTAGTTAAAAATTTCAACGACTCACATACTTTCACATTTTAGTGAAAGTATTTTGAAGAAATCCGCTTCATTATCAACCGTTCTTAAAATAAAAAAAGTCAAATAAAAAGAGTGAGTTTAGACGGACAAAGGAGTAAGAGAGAGTTTGACACTGCCGTAGATTATTTGAAAAGTAGAAGCCAAAAGCATTTAATTCAAACTTTGCCAAAAAGCACCTTTGAAGCTCATTTTGCACTCAGAAGTTATACACTATAAGCAGAACTAAATTTGTCAAACACATAAAATTATTTTTTTAACGAAGTACAAACTCAAAAGCTATTCTCTAACACACTCTGCCAAACATCCTCTAAATATCATCATCTTTCACTTTGTAACCTCTTGTTGAGGGAGAAGGTTCCCATGACATTGGTTCTCAATGTCATGGGATGACCCGGGAGCACTCCGGTGCCCCGTTCGTAAAATTGACGGTTCCTACCCCCCTAACCCTCCGGCAAACCCCCCACCCTGCCCCTCCCCGAACAAACCCCTCCACCTCCTCCAATTGCACCCCACAAGTCGATTTTGACTTTGGAGTCAAAATTTGACTCCAAAGTCAAAATCAACTTGTGGGGTGCAATTGACGGGGGTAGGGGGCGTGTTCGGGTCGGGGCTGGGGTGGGGGTATACCGGGGGGTTAGGGGGGTAAGAATCGTCAATTTTACGAAAAGAGCACCGGAGCACCCCGGGTCATCCCATGACATTGGAACCCAATGTCATGGGAACCTTTGTTGAGATTTGTTAATTTTGAGGTGGGACAAAGTTACGTGAACACTTGGGACTAAACTAACGAACTTCGGTTTCCCCGACACTCCCTCGTTACTATCGAGTCTCAAGCTCTTATAGTACCCCCCCACCTCTTCCTCTGCATCTAGCCCAAAAAATCTGCCACCGCTCTCCCTCCTGCCCCTGCCGGAGACACCGGCCGTGTCCTACGCATCCGACCTCGTATCAATTATTTCCCGCTCGTGTCCGGCGGCTGTGTCATACTTTCTCCCGCCCGATTTCTCCCCAGGTTTTGGTTGTTTTGTTTAGTGATTTGCATCAGTTCAATTATGCACATACATTTTTGTTTATTTTTTTTTGTTTAAAATTCTTACTTAAATCAATGCTCCATTCCTACCAATGCACTTGTCCAACTTTGATCTTCTGGATTCAAATTTCATGAATTTTGATTTTTGACCATCCATGGGTTCTAAGATAAGTTTGATGATAAAAATGTAGATAGTTTTGTAAAATTTGTTTTACAAAATGCTTTCATAAATTTATTTTTTTAAAATGATTTTTACTACTAATTTATCAATGTTTGACAATAACTGTCAAACACTCACATTTGTCCCAATTTTTTTCATGTCTTTTTTCCTTTTTTCCGTCCGTCCCAGTTCATATTTTCATTTATAGAAAATGTTATGTGGTCCATAACGTTTATATCTCTTGTGCATAAATATCAGCGACACAATTTTCACTTTATTAATCTTCATGCCATTATTTATTGAAGATTTAGTGTCGGTTGAAGCGAGCATGGTGTTCATATACATCTAAATATTGGTTGATCACATGTTTTATAAGATTAATCTACACTTTGCATAAGAGCATGGTTGTTTTATGGGCATATGTAAATCGAATTTGAGACACATTACATTGTCTGTTTTTTATTTGCAGAGGAAAAGCTAAATGGGACCCTATATAGTTGGCCTCCTTTTCCCTCTTGCAGTCACAAGTCTTCTCCTTCGGAATTCAAACAACCGAAAGAAAAAACGCGGGCTCCTTGTTGATGTGG